ATCTGGGAAGTAAACAAGGATCGCCTAAACACTATGCACCAGAAAATCTCTGCGCCACCGCGACTGCTCAGCCTTGCAGCTGGAAAGAGCACCTGCTGCATTTTCAGAGTTCCCCGGAGCCTGGTTGATATCAACGGCAAGTCCTATCAACCCCATATCGTCTCAATCGGTCCCTACCACCATGGCGAACCTCAGCTCAAGATGATCGAAGAGCACAAATGGCGGTTTCTGGGTTCTATACTCAACAGGATAAAAGTCAAAGGTTTAACCTTGGAAGATCTCCTCAAGGCCGTAGAGTCACGAGAAAAGGAAGCCAGAGAATGTTATTCGGAAAATCTCGACATGGGTACTGATGAATTTGTGGAGATGTTGGTTCTTGATGGTTGTTTTATCATCGAATTGTTTCGAAAAGTTGCGAATTTGGTACCTTCTGATCCTGACGATCCAATTTTCTCAATGGGGTGGATTTTACCCCTTTTTTTCAGGGATTTTGTTCGAATTGAAAATCAAATCCCGTACTTTGTTCTTGAAGTCTTGTTTGATTTATCCAAAATGCCAGGAGAGGAATCAAGACCTACTTTATCCCAGCTAGCTTTGGAATTCTTCAACAACATGATATTACGCCCAGATGAAAACATCCCCAAATTCTCCCAGCTGAAGGGAAGGCATTTGCTTGATTTGGTTCGCACAAGTTTTATTCCTTCCGAAACAGAGAAACCCTACAAGATTAAGACACCAACTCATATCATCCACTGCATTTCCAAGCTCCGCCGAGCTGATATCAAGCTTAAACCGGTCAAAGCAGAGAGCTTTTTAGAGGTGAAGTTCCAGCACGGTGTGATCGAAATGCCTACCATAACCGTGGATGATTTCATGACCTCGTTTCTGCTCAACTGTGTGGCGTACGAGTACTGCCACAAGAGCTCCTCCAAGCCCTTCACTGCCTACGCAGCCCTGCTGGACTGCCTGGTGAACACGTATAAAGATGTGGAGTACCTTTCTGACAGAAACATAATCGAGAACTTCTACGGCAAAGAGGAAGAAGTGGCAAGATTCATCAATAACATGGGGAAGGATATATCCTTTGACATCGATCAGTGCCATCTATGGAAACTGTTCTCCGATGTGCACTACTATTACAGGAATGATTGGCGTGTTCAGTGGGCAGGCTTCAAGTATGCATACTTGCACGCAGCATTGCTTATCCTAGTCCTCACCTTCTTGCAAACTTTCTACACTATTTATCAAAATTACCATCATGATTGATGTTAAGAGCCTGAATTTGTTAGTTCTGTACGTGTAATACTCATCAATTATTGGTTGTATGGAGTTCAACTAACAGATTCAAGGTTTGTTTACTTTGAATCGGAACAGAAACTGCCTGCTTTGATTGGAGAAATGAAATCTTCCTGTGCTGTTAACTTGTAGATAAGTTTGGAATTGAATAAAAAATGCCTACAGGATTTGAATTACACATGTCAGCAATCAACAAACATTCAGTGGCACCAGTATAACCAAACATTCAATGGATATGTATGCAAACACTCCACATGGTACCATTCTGGCTGCAAGGATTGTGGACGGATTCAATAATTTGTAAGTCCCGTCTTCCGTGGATACAAATATTTGGTCAACAAAACAACAGCTGTAATCACAAGGGAAAAGATTAGGCCATCCGGTCATTTTCACTATCGTTACCTCATATGTATGTGGCAGAGAGAGACTCTGAATGGTTTGGTCTTAGCAATTCTGGGGAAACTCTTTGTTTCTTGAAGATCACACAATTTTTTTGTCTTGACTACAGAATTTTGATATCTTATCCAGAGGAACGGAACCAAACGGCGGCTAGCTAGCTTTTTTGAAAAGTATCATTTTCTAATTAACATTGATAGCTTAGCTTTTTGATATCTTCTCTGGCTGCTGACAAGTCGAACCCTCTGATACATGAGCCAGAAATTTGAGTTTAGGGGTGAATTTTTAAAATTTTTTATGAGTTATTTAAGTTTTATTTGATCATATTTTATATAAATTTTTTT